CAGGGAATTTCTTTTTTTCTTTCCTTTTTTTTTGCTTACCGGAATTTTGGATGTGCGTAGGAACTCAAGCAAAGCCTCCAGGGAACCCAAAGTGGAGGCCTGTACATAGACACCCGATGGGGCCAATTTGATGTGACTCAAAGCACTCTTTAGCTCGCGGGCCACTTCCTCCCTGAAAAAAAGGAAAATTAATCCGTTAAAGTATTAGATTTAAAGGAGAGAGAGAGATGAGATCCAACTAACTTGCAAATTTCCACCTCATCGGGTTTGTTGGCAATCAACAAATTGATGCCCGCAATGGCCTTTTCCAGATCCTTGGCCGCAATCTTCACACCCTGTGCTGCCTTCACCTCTTTGTGCTCCACATAGGCATTCTTCACGCGCAGCTCCCGCATGGGCTGCGGCATGAGCAGCGAACGGATCTGGGTGACAATGGGTCCGTCTGTGCCGGCCAGGACCATGGTCTGACCCTCGCGCAGCTTGCCATTTATGAGAATGGCATCGATGGTGGTGCCCAGTCCAGGCAGGGCCTTCACCTCAAGAACTGTGGCCTGCAGCTCCTCCGAGTACATGAGCCGTTTGGTCAGCATATTCTGGCAGTAGTCTGTGATCATGAACAGGAGGTTGCCCATGCCCTCGCCGGTGATGGCACTGGTGGGCACCAACGAGATATATGTCTTGGGATCGGTGTTCTCGTAGTAGAGAGCCGCATTGAGGCCCTGTTCGGCAAACTGAAGTATGACGTCCTTGGTGCGCTGCTGGAATTCCAGTTGCGTGTTGCTCTGCTGCTCCTTGATCACGTCGCGCACATCCCGCCGGGCCAGCACCTGCCAGTCGTACAGCCGATCGACCTTATTCAATGCCACAATGAAGGGACATCTCTTCTTCTTTAGCAGCTGTATGGACTCGAGTGTTTGCGGCTCCAGGCCGTGCATAATGTCCACCACCAGAATGGCAATATCACAGAGGGAGGAGCCGCGATTGCGCAGATTACTGAAGGACTCGTGGCCGGGTGTGTCGATGATGAGGAGACCGGGCAAACGATGCACAAAGCCCGCGGCGCTCTTCACGTACTTTGTCTGCTCCTTGATGGCATCGATGGGCACATTGGTGGCGCCAATCTGCTGCGTGATGCCACCAGCCTCCGAATCCTGCACATTGGTGCGCCGCAGCTTGTCCAGAATCTTGGTTTTGCCCGTATCGACATGGCCCAGGACACAGACAACGCCCGCACGCAACTCATCCGTGGTGCGTTTCTTTTCAGCGTCCGACTGACGCTTGATGATTCTCGCCTCGGCGCGAAGTCGTCGAGATTCGGGATCGTTGGCAAGGGTCTCCGCCTTCTCATCGGACTCGTCGCTGCTCTCATCATCGGAATCGTCGCTGTCATCGTCATCGCCGCTTTCATCTTCATCGGTGTCCTCATCCTCGTCGGCCTTGCCGTTGTTTGTGGTTTCAGAGGACTCCTCATCGGGTTCCGCCTCCGCCTCGCTGTCGGTGGCATCCCAACTTTCTTTGACCACTTCCTCCTTGGGTGTTTCGGCGGCTGTGGCGGCCGCGGCAGCTGCAGCGGCTTCTTCGGCCGCCGCCTTGGCCTCCTCCTCCTCGGCCGTTTCCTTGGGTCCCTTCTTCTTGTTGGGCCTAATGCGAGTGCCTGGAAAACGGGGGGGTTTCGGTTCAACAATAATTCGCTGGAAAGAGGAGCATTATTTACCTGGCCTTGGAGCTCTCCTGTCGTTGGGATCGGGTATCTCCAGACCCTGAGCCTTGAGCGAATCCAACAGGGCCTGCGCCCTGGCTCGATCCTCTTTCTGCTTCTTGGTCAAGAGTTTGCCCTCGGCCTTTAGCCGGGCCTTGCGATCCGCCTCGCGCTGCTTCTTTTTCTCCTTCTTTTCGGCCTCCAGACGCACTGCCTCCAGACGGGCCTCCTCGCGCTCATCTGCGAGACGGTTGCGCTCCTCCTCGAGCCTCTCCAGGCGCTCTTCCTCCTCCTTGCGCTTCTTCAACTGTTCCTGCATGGCCGCCACCATGGCAGCCGACATGCCCTTCTTTTTGGCATCCTTCTTCTCCTCCTCGGCCTCGGCTTTTTTGTCCTTCTTTCCCTTCTTCTTGTTCTTGCCGCCTTTGCCGGCGGCATCTTCTCCAGCGTCTTCGCCATCGGCCTCTGGCTTCTCCTCCTCGGTGGGCTCTGGTTCAGGCTCGGGGACTGCTGGCGGAGGCTTCTCCGCTGGCTTCTGTTTGGGCTCCAGTGCTGCCTTCTGCTTGGCCTGGGCCGCCTCCCGTTTCTGTCGCTCCTTCTTCTCCTTTTTCTTCTGTGCAGCCGTCTTCATGGTGCTGCCGCCATCATCATCATCATTATCGTCGTCGGCAGCCTCATCCTCAGCATCGTTTTCCGCTGGAACGGCGGCTTGAGCTGCTTTTTTGTTCTTTTTCTTTTTGGAGAACTCATCGGCCAGCTCTTCGGGGCTGACAACAGCCGTTGGTGCTGGTGCCCCGCCAGCATATTCCGCCTGCAGCTCGGCCAAGACCTTGTCCAGATCCTCATCATCATCATCCTTTCCCTTGCGCTTGGCTTTCTTGCCCTTCTTCTCGTTCTTCTTCTGTGGCTTCACTGCCTCCGGCTCCTGCACGTCGTCGTCGTCGGGCGCGCTCTGCACAGCAGGCGTCTCATCGTCGTCGTCGTCGTCCATCAGCAGTTCGAAGGCGGACTTCTTGGCAGCCTTGCCTTTGGGTGGCGCTTCCTCATCGGAGTCGTTGTCAGCCTTTGACTTCTTGCCCTTTCCCTTGACATTGAGCTTCTTGACGGCCTTGGTCAGTGTTTGGACATCACCAGCATCGCTATCCTCGTTGTCCGACACCTTCTTGTTCTTCTTTTTGCCCTTTTGCTGCGGTGCCTGCGGCTGGTTCTTCTTGTTGTTGGCGCTCACCTTGTCGCTCTCCACATCGGAGTCCATGGGATTGCCTTGGCTTTCGCTGTGCGATCGAAATGGGGGATGTAAATAATGCAATTGTTTTAGAAAGTTGCCAACACGGCATTCATTCGGCAATCGCTACTCACATTTCATCGGCCGAGGAGCCGCCTTCGACCGTCGCCAATATCTCTTTCTTGCCCTTTTTAGCTTTAACCATCTTTCCTGGCGTAGTCGCAACACGCTCCTCCTCTGGACACCCACAAAATGCCGAAGGTTATTCACTGCTGAAAATTCCGCACACGCGACGCGATGGCTGCAAAGACGCTGGCGCTGGTGCTGCTGCTCGGGATTATTTTCCTCCGCAACGTCGGGCACAACAATGGGGGCTGCTGCTGCTGTTGGCGCTCCGGCTGTGGACGGCACCTTGACTCGGCTACGTTCGCGCAACAATTTGGCTATTGGGCAATCACAATTGGCAAACTTAATGCCAATTTTCGCTGATTTTTCGGAGAAAATGCACACAAATTCCACAAATTCTTCCGGAAGTCCGCGAACTAGGGATGGAATTATATTACTAAATATATCGATATATATTGTCTGATATTTTTGGTATTTCTGCATATACGTACATCGGAGATGGGAGATTTCGTCATTCCACGTCCACTCATCGGGATAGTGCCCGCCAGATTTGAACTTAAATCGGTCTAGAAGCCAAACAAACGCCGAACCGCAAAATGAGTTGCTAAACTATGTATGTAAAATTCAAAGAGCATATTTAAAGAAATATCAGGAATATATTTTTGTAAAGTCAAGTCAAAGTTGAACAAGTCAAACCCACATATTAGATCCATGCCTCTCGGCCAACTGCTCGAAGCTCAGAGTTCTCACCCCGTATGCGCCGTACTATAAGTGCGTCAGCCACTGTACTATATTGGCTAGTGTTATTACTCATGATTTATGGTACATCTTGATATAATTGTATATCTCATCAATTTATTACGATACCTTATGCCGTAAATATACCAAGATATAAATCAAAAAATATCGGTATTGAATTTGGCGGCCCTATATTTGGAAGGTACTAAAATATAGGGCCGCCAAATTCAATACCGATATTTTTTGATTTATATCTTGGTATATTTACGGCATATTTTGAAAATGACGTTTCTGAGGTTCCAGTCACACTCGACAAAACAAATCAAGTGAAATATTTATTTTTCTATATATTAATATACTTTTAAAAATAACCGCCAAAGCCCTTTAGCGCACAAAAAATACTGACATTTTTCGCTCTCAATTCGTGGGGGTTTTCCAAAAGTTTCTCTCTTTTCTGAGGTGAAGAGAGCGCTTTCGTGGGAAAATGGATATTATGGACTTGAGATATTGTTCGTCATTTCAGGCTCCAATTAATGCAGAAACTACTCAGTCTCTGTTTTAAAGATATTAACGAAATTTTGCAGCTCCAATAATAGGTATCAGAACAGGGATATGTGTATATATAAAACACAAACATGTGCATTAATAGGTAAAAACATGTCAATCTAGGATAAAATCATAAATAATGTTTCAATGGAGAATGGAAAGAAACATTTAACATCAATTAAACGAAATAAGGTATACTTACATTTAGTCAACATTTACGTTTTATGCTTTGGCCGTTTTTGTTTGAACCTTTTTATGTAAACATTGCAGTAAAAAGGACTTCTGAAAACTTTCCAATCTTGTAGAAAATGTATGTATCTATCGGATAAAATTATTTGTTTAGGGCTGAAAGGGCCAACTAGCTAGTAATATTAAAAGGAATATCAAAATCGAGGAATATCAACGTTGAATGTTTTTAAAAAAACAATCGATACTATCGTAATAGTATCGGGCTTAAATAATTATTAAAAACCATTGAAACCTTTTAGAAACTTGTCCATTGTAAAAATTAGATGCCACCTGTCGATTTGCTTACAAATTTGTCTTCGTATTTTATAGCAGACAATCCAAACATATTAAAAGCGCAACGCCTGTAGCTCGATACTATCATGATAGTCTCGAAACCATCGATAGTAGAGGCTAGCAGCAAAATATCGATAGTGACTCGATCCTGAAATTAACTTTTTCAAGTTTTCTCGTGTGTTGTTCGATTTTCTTTTCCCACAAAACCTTCGCAGTGATCTGAACTGATACCCTCGTGTTACAGAGTTTCAAGTGTGCTTGCTTTTCTTTCGAATTGCGCATAGCGTTGCGTTGCCAGCAGCTTGTAAGTGTTTGTTTGAGGCCGGCTCGAATTTCGCGCGGGTACTTGCCATTTCTTAACTTTACAGCTTGACTACTGATCTGCAGACTTGTTCTAGGATCATTCTAGAATCTATAGTCAGGGTTGGCGCTTATATTACGAGTTTCGAAGTACCGCAAGTGCTTTTGCTTTTCCCTTACATTGCATTGGCAGCAGTTCGTAAGTGCTTGTACAATTTTTAAGGGCCGGCTCGAATTTCGCGCAAATAATTGTGTTTTCTTATCTTCATAGCTTGAGTTTCGAGTAAAAGGCTCTGTGGACGATGTCCAACGAGGCGACCGGCATTACCATCAAAGAAGAGATTCCCATAGACGCGAGCAGCGGAGCCGAGGTTTGTGTAGTTGTAGTTGTAGGTTGTGCATTTGCTTTGGCGTGCCGTTATGTTGCTGCCTGTTGCTTAGCGTAAGAGAGAGAGAGAGAGAGGGAACCACCGAACGGTAAAAGAAATAAGACTACAGCACAGGGTGACGCATTGCCAGGGTTCGTTCTGATGCGAGTTTGCCTCTGTTTTTGCCAATGCGTTTGTCTCCTACGCACTGCATAGCGACTAGAAATTACCCATTCATTAGAGAAAATCAAGCGGTAATCATTAATACCAATTATCTACCAAATTCTAAAGCAAAAATATTTATTTAAGAGACTCAATGCTTTCCTTACGAAAACGTTACCCTCTCTGCTTATGCATGGTGTAATGGGACCAGTCCAATCGCTTCCACGAAATGTTTACTATAAAATGCTTCTTTGTTGCTTCTCGCTTAGCAGGCAAAGAAACCCGAGAATCAATCGGAAAAGGCAGAGTCGCAACTGGCCGGCGGGAGCGGGTCGCAGGCCGAGTCCAGCGACAACCATTTGCAGCGTCTGCAAAGTTTGCGTAAGGAATTGAGCTACATCAGCGAAACGGATTGGATGTACGAGAGTCTGGACAAGAAGCCGCAACAGTAGGGTAGTACGGGACCAAAGAAAATCAAGATGTTGTCAGTACTGCGCAATTGGTGGCAGAGGGAGCAGCGTGAGCGTGAGCGCAAGTTGGACTTGATTGAGCAGGAGAACAATTTTTTGGATCACGAGTTGAACGAGGAGCAGCAGACCAAGGAGCAAGGAGAGTCGTCCTGCATGCAGAACATTATCAAAAGCAATCTGGACCAGGATAACAGCATGGAAAAGGAGGCTGTCGACAAGTTCTGCTCCAGCCGTCAGGGCGTCATCACCGATCTGAACAGCAACGGCGGTGTCATCGATATGTACATCCACTTCGACGGGCAGGCTTCCGACCATATATACCATCAGCTGGTCAAGGGCTCAGTGGTCGAGTATCTGGGCTATAAGAAGGCGGACGAGGACTTCCTCAAGGTGGTCAAGATACTGAAGGTTATTGAGCAGGGCTGGGGCGAATCAGTCACCAATTCAACGGTAAGACCGAAGCCATCCATTGCCGAAGTATTCTAAGAACTCCTTTCCCTTGCAGATAAAGGCGGCAGTGGAGTCCTTAAAACTGGAGAACTCCACCTACTTCAAAACGCAGGAGCGGGTCATCCATGGCACGGTCATTGAGCGTCAGCAATCCACCATCGAGGTGGACACCGCCTCTGGCCATCAAAAGTTTGAGCTGGAAAACGTTGAGATGACATTTGTGCCAAGGATGGGCGACTGCGTGACACTCGAGTGCTCTGTTCAGCTGGACGATGGCTATGTGGACAAGCAGGGCGAGATTCTGCAGCTGCTAAAGGTGCTGCCCACGCGCATCCTCTCGAACGAGAAATGCAAGGTCGAGCGTTGTTTCCCAGAGTTCGCTGTACTCGGCACCAATGCCTATTTGATGCGCGAGAATTTCCCCACTGGCCCAGAACTGCACATGGGCGATTACGTGCTGGCGGATCTCATCGAATGTGTTTATGTAAGTCGGATCATGTGATTTATATTCATTGAAAATTGCATAAATTAATTAAATTCCTTCAGTCGAAATTCACGCATCGCGCCATCAAAGTGATACCGCAGGAGAGCAACTTTCTTTGCATCAAGAAGGAGAAGACGTTTGCTGCCGATCGAAATGTCATCATCACTGGCGCCACCCGCTTCATAACCACCGAGCTGTGGGAGAAGCGCAAGATCACCATCAAGGTGCAAAACAATACGAATCGCAAGTTGGAGCTTCACGAGGTCCAGCTACAGCATGGCCACGCGTCACAGATCAGTGTGATCGAGCCGGTTACCAAGACCAGCATTGGCATCGACCGACACGTGTCCGTGATACTGGAGGTGGAGGCCCGCTGCATCGGCGAGTGGGCAGAGAAATATACGCTGGATTTTAAGCAGTTTAAGGTGGTGCGCCTTTTCAAGGTCATTGCCTGCGAGACACAGAAGGAGGCCGACGATGCCGAGCGTCGCCTGATTGCGGCCGAAAGTTTTGTTGCCTCTGGCAGAACGGAGGGGCAGCGCAATCGCAGCTATGCCAAGCATGTGTGGGACAAAACATTGGACGTGGTGCGCGGTGAACACGGAATGGTCAAGCGACGATTTGTGGTCACCCGCATTGGCAGTTACGATGTGCCAGAGAGTCTGCGCAATGCCTACCTGAGAGATTGTCGGGCCCCGGAAGTGTTCGACGACCTGGAGCGATTGTATCCGTGCTCGACAGAGACCCTGTGCATGGCCAACTATGTGCCGCGCTTCCGTTTGTTTTTGCACATGGAGGAAATTGAATTTTTCATTTGCATTCGAAACTTTGACAGGGACAGGGCCCACATGGAACGCGACGGGGAGTATCTATCGCTTACAATCGAGAATCTCGCGGAGCGTCGGCCCTCGCTGGTCATTGGCGATATCGTGTATGCCATCAATCCCTGGAAGGAGGCCACCAAGGATGACAAAACCTACTCGGGCGCCATACACAAGGTGCTCTTCGATCGAGTCTTGCTGAAGTTCCATCCCCAGTTCCAGGACAAGTACAATGGCGAGGACTACCGCCTGGAGTTCTATTTCTCGAGATTTTCGCTAAGAAAGCAACACCATGCCATCAGTCAAGTCGTCACCACCATGGGCGAGCAGTTCCTCTTCCCCAGCAAGGTGGTCAAGCGCGCCCATCCGCAATTGCAGGTGCGGCTCGAGGGAGAGGACATGTATCTGTTCGACACGAAGCTGGAGTGGTACAACAAATCGCTCAACTGCATTCAGAAGCGTGCCGTCTTCAATATACTGCGGGGCGAGGCAACGAACATGCCATACGTGATCTTTGGTCCGCCCGGCACCGGCAAGACCGTGACCCTGGTGGAGTCGGTGCTGCAGATGGTACGAAATCTGCACAGTTGCCGCATCTTGGTGGCCGCACCCTCAAACAGTGCGGCGGATCTCATTACCAGGCGTATCATTGCCAGCAATGCCCTGTCCCCTGGCGATTTCATTCGCATTGTATCCCACAATCTGATTGAGAAGGAACTGGTTCCAACCGATCTGATGCCCTACTGCGCCACCTTGGACATTTGTGCCGATGGAACCGCTGAGGACAACGTAAGTAACCAACCCAGACCTTTTTCCCACTCCCACTCACACTCTCTAATTGTGAATCCCTTTCAGATGCTGGTCACCGATTCGGGTCTGAAGCTGCGCTGCCAGTGGAAGTTTATGGGCGCCCATCGCGTTAGCATCGGCACCTGCGCAACGCTGGGTAACTTTATGCAGATGTCATTTCCGGGCGGGCACTTCACCCACCTGTTTATGGATGAGGCCGGCCAGAGCACGGAACCAGAGACGTTGATGCCCGCTGCTCTGCTTTCCAAGGATCGGGGTCAGGTCATTCTAGCCGGGGATCCGTATCAGTTGCCGCCCATAATAATGAGCAAATTCGGACGTACCTGTGGCTTCGAACTGTCCTTGCTGGAGCGCCTGCTGAGCACACCGCCGTATGTGAAGGATATGGTCGGGTACCCGGACAGCTCTGGATTTAATCCGCTGGTGCTGACGAAGCTTTTGCATAACTATCGGGCCCTGCCTTCAATCATGGCCACATACAGCAAGCTCTTCTATGACGATGAATTGATATCAATGGTGGGCGAGAAGGATTCGCGGGAGGCCACCGTGTTGGGTAAGGTGCAGTCCGTGCTGGGCAAGGGAATGCCGCGCAACCACGGTGTCTGCTTCGTTGGAATTATGGGGCAGAATATGCAGGACAGGGACTCGCCCTCGTGGTACAATCCCCTAGAGGCCAGGGAAGTTTATCTGATGGTCATATCCCTGTATCGCCTCCAAGTGTCGCCCGACCAAATTGGCATTTTAACGCCATATGCGAAGCAGGTAAAGACAATAAGGGGCTTGTTCATCGGCACAAATATTGCCATGCCAAAGGTTGGCTCCGCTGAAGAGTTCCAAGGCCAGGTGAGCATATAAAGCAATCTACACCACGTGTATATATATATATATATATATATCTTGATCTCTGTGACCCAGGAACGCGACATAATGCTAATTTCGACTGTGCGCTCATCGGAAACGCTGCTCTGCAAGGACGCCCACCTGGCCCTCGGATTTGTGCGCTGCCATAAGCGCCTCAATGTGGCGATATCGCGTGCCCGCGCTTTTATGGTCGTTTACGGTAATCCCCATCTCCTGAGCATCGACAACAATTGGCGTCATCTCATCACATTTTGTGCGAACAACAATGCCTACTTTGGCTGCGACCTGCCGCAATCTGTTCTGCCAGATGAGTCCGACGAGGAGGATGCCTCCTCCAACTACGAGTCTAGCAGCGACTAGCAAACATATAGTTCTACGACTAAAGTTAATGCCAATATGACAACTGCATTAGATACTACGTAAAAGCTGTGCTTTCATTTCACTTTGTAACTTTAGTATTAGAAGAACTAAAAGAACGTTTGAACAAAAAACAAAGTCATTGTGGGAAAATATTGGATGAAGAATTGGTGGGAATTAGTGGACAATTGATTTGACTTCAAGCAGCTCAAATATATATTCGATTCGTTTCGTATTGGTGTGTTGCTGAGCCCAGGAGTTTGCGGAGTATTCTAACTGGTCGTAGCAGTTCAGGGTTACATTATAGCTGTCGAAATTAACTTGTTTCGGCTCAGAAAGAAATATAGTGAGTTCTAAGGCTCCGTCTAAACGGGACAGCTGCAGACTGGGCGCATTTGTATCGGCGTGTTGCTGCAAGCAGAAGTCTGCACCATACCACATGTTGTAAGCAGCATTTCCAGAAGAGATGTATGTTTCTCTCCTAGTTTTTAAGCTATTTCAACAAAATATTGCTAGAGCTTAGGCAGCAACTACCCCGTTTAAACTTGGCTTAATGCGCTGCAGTGCTGCCATTACCAGTCTGGCAGCGCTGTTCTCAGATCAACAAACGCACACTTCGGTCACATTGGCAGGAACCGTTAGCGCGGCCATGTTTTTCGTGTTGTTTTTCGAAAAAAAAAATAAAAGCCGCAAAATCAGAAATTCGGGCGATTTTGTCGAATAAAATAAAAATAAAGGCATTTTCAATGCAATACAATCAAATGGCGCAAACCGCCATCGAAGAGAATACCTTTGCATTTGGAAAGCAAGATGCGCAGAGCAAGGATCAACTAGAAATTGAGGTGCGAGCCGTGTGCGCCGCCCCTGCAGCTCTATATATTTGTTGTTTTGTATGGCTAACCGAAATTCCTTGCTTGCAGCGTCTCTGGAAGACGCACTGGCTGACCGACTATGCCCAGGACATATTTGTGAACATGAAGGAGGCAGAGATGCGTCGTCGTCCCATATTTTTCAACTCCATGGAGCTGGACGAGCGCGCCAGTCTGTTGCAACTTTGCCAACTAGCTGCGCGCACATACAAACTGAATCGCGCCACTGTGCATTTGGGTAAGGAGACGTGGGCGAGCACCTTGTTGCTCTTGATCAAATCACTCACATGCTCTAACCAACCATCTGATCGGCGCAGGTGTCTACTATATGGATCGTTTGACCGATTACTTCACGATTAGGACCGACAAACTGCCATTGCTGGCGCTCACATGTCTGCACATTGCCGCCCAGATGGAGAACACCGATGCGAGTGTGCCGCGCTACAGCGAACTGAACAGCCTGATGCAGGACGGCTACACAGTTTTCGAATACAAGGTGGTGGAGCGCAAGGTGCTGTCCTATCTGAATTTTGAGCTTATGCGTCCCACCACGGCCAGCTTTGTGGAGTTTTTTGCGTGCAGCTTCCTCACGCGCGCCGACTATGCCAACTACACGGCCATGCTGCAGGACCGTGCTGGCGGGGAGGATGTTCAGTACGTGCAGTACGAAAGTTATGAAGGAATGCTATCGGCCCTGTCACAGCTGCTGCTCCGTCTGGCAGACTGCACATTGAGCAGTAAGCATCGATTGACTTTCCTTTAAAGATCGCATTCAAGTCGAATATTCTCTCGTTCTGTTTCAGTTAATAGTTTTGCCAACACGCGACCTTCCTTGTTGGCCGCCGCCTGCATAGCAGCGGTGCGACATCTAAACGGACTCAAGTGCTGGACGAAATATCTCACCAAACTGACATCGTATTCAGAAAATGTGGTTGAGCCATTGCTGGGGAATATCACACATTACTATCACTGGTACCAGGAGAGCTATGTGGAGCCATATGGCGTGATGGCATTCGTTGACATGGGCCCATCTTCGGCAGATAGCATTAATCCCAATTGGTCGACACCGGACTCTGGGATTGGCGAGTCGGTGGTCATAGTGGAAGAACTGCTGACCGTGGAGTATGACATAGGAACAGTGCAGCTGCAGCAGCAGCAACAGCAGCCAGTTGCTAGCTCCAATCTGGCTGCAGTTGCTCAGACAGTGTTGCCGCAAGAAGCGGCCATCTTTTCGCAAAGAGAGCCGCAGCAACAGGCTGCCTTAGCCCACGAAGAGCTGCCGGCATCAGCATTAGTTGCCATAGAAAAGCCGCAGGAATCAATTGCAGTTGCCATGGAGGAGCTGCAATGTGCCTTCAAGCGCAAGCATATCGAAGATGATTGCCAAGACGAGCCGCAGGCGAAGCGTCTGCAATGGTAGCACAATACATGCAATAAATGTACAACGAAACATTTTGATTGAATGGTTTGGCTTCGGTAATCAATCGGTTTACCGAAATAACCGAAACTGCTCTACAGCGCAAGCGCTGTACTAACTTGCTAATTAAGTCCCAAAACGTAGCGGAGTATTTCCAGGCGATATACCCTATTCAATTCGATATTGAACATGCCCATATCGTAATGCATAATGCATTTGTATGTACATATTATGTATATTCCTCTTTATATCTTATTTAGTGTATAATTGGAATCATTTCTCTTATCAAAAAATATTACACACACACACGCACATCAGCACATCAGCTAAAAAATCAACAATACAATAAAAAAGAGTTATTATTAACTAAAGAAACAATTTTCTAAGCAACAAATCCAATCCAATCGAGAAAAAAAAAAAGACTTCTGGAGGGGTGGGCGGGCGTATGGTTGGTAGGAGGAATTTAAGGAATGACAAACCATTTCAAAAATGCTAATACTAAATGCTTTAAAGATAGTAAATGGAACAGGGAAACTGCAGCTGGGGTAGTGGGGAAGTGGAACCCAATCCACATTTAATGCAGCTCCAGTTTGTTATCCATAAGCTACAATTTGATATTGCTCCCAAAGGGGAAAGTCTAGCCTAGTTTCAATTGCAAGAATGTCCGAGAGAATGGAGACCAGAGATAGCGGCAGGGAGAGTGAGAGGGAGAGAGTGGAATTTGGAGACTAACTATGTTACCAATCTGCTCGTTAAGCTTGACTTGCGGACAGTAATAAGAAACATTTGAATTTACAACATTTACAGGACAACCGTGCAGGTGTGCAGATGGGAATGCCAGCTGCTGCCTCATCGCTGCATGTCGCGTCGTTTGAGCACATCGAATATGACATCAGATGAGTTCTGCTTGTTGTTCAGATCATTGCCCGACTCATCCTCGGAATCGGTTTGCTCCAGCAATGGCACCGTCAACGTCGAGTGTGATCTCACATGGATGCCAGCAATGGAATTGTCCGCACCGCCAGCATTAGCATTAGCTCCCTCATTGAAATTATACTCCGCCGATAAGTCGTCATGGTCGTTGTCCGAATGCAGATCCTTTTGCTGCTTCTCCGCATCGGCCATGGTGGAGTATTTGTGCCACAGATGGCAGGCAATGCCCGCAAGGCAGACAACCAGACCCACATAGTTGATGGCACTCAGCTGATCCTTTTTGAGGGTGACGGCCAGGAACAGCTGGCAGATGTCTTTGAATATGCCCGCTATCGAAAGCGTCAGGCTGGAGGTCTTGCACAGCACCAAGAACTCGGTGAACTCCATGAGGAACGCAAGCAGCGCACCAAAGGTTATCCTGGCAATGGCCCACGTTATTTCATCCGTCGTATACATCTTTAGATTCTCCGCCACATTGTACAGCTTGACACCTGCAAACGGAGAGCAGCGACAGAGAGAGAGAGAGATTATCTAGTGGAATTTCAGGTGGTATTAGGTATGGTAGTGGGCGCACCTTCAATGCCACAGACAAGCGGCAGCAGTGACGCAATCATCCATGGCTGCATGTAGTAGATCATGTCAATGGGATTGTGCAGACCCAGCTTCGATTTTTGCATAATAAACTGTGCGAAGCTCCAGCGCAGGCCGCTGCTCAGCGAGGCAAACAGTATGAAAAAGAAGCCCAGGGCATTGAACTGCGTGGACTTGTAGGTAAACATGACCAGGCCGGTGCCAATGAGGCCCACAATAGACACCAGAGACCAGCTCTAAGGAAAGACAAAAGGGAAAAAACTTGTAATAAAAATAAACATAGATACTCCAGACCCGATCCCACGCATGGACGTACCTTCTTTTCCAATCCTAAAGCTATGGCAAACAGCAGTATAAACACTATGGTTGATGATTTGGTCATTGTGTACAGGGATATGGGCACCAGGGCCAATCCCCAGTTGGAGAAACCAATATCAATGGCACTGGCCACGCCAGTGGGTGCCATTTTCCTTAGTGCCACACGCCAATCCAGCTGGACACGCGATCGCCCCATACGCAGTTTATAGATCCTTCGCACGAGGGCCGCCAAAACGAATTTCAGGATTAGGTGATACGTGACAATCGCCAGGGGGAATGGCATCTCGCGATTGATGTCCGTTTGGTAGAAGGTCAGCGAAATGGAGAGCGTCAGGTAGACCATTATAATGACCAGTGTGCCAATGGCCATCTGCATAAAGCGGGCATCCGCCTGCCGAGCCATGATCTTCTCCTGTGCCGACGTGGCTACAACGTGGTCGTCACTGCCGACTCCAACGCCGCTACTGCTGCTGCTGCTGTTTACGTATTTGAAGTTGGCCAGTCGTCTATCTTTGCCATTCTGCAGCGTTGTCATTGCCGCCGTCGTCTTCTGGCCCAAACTGAGTTCAATTTCCTCGCAGTCATCGTCATCGGCACCGCTGGAACCACCGCCGCCGCCGCCACCCCCTCCGCTCTGAGAATTGAGGCGCTCGTACTTTGCAGCCACCATTATCGGTATCGGTGGGGTTTGCTGTGTCTGCGCAACATCGCAAGAAGTTAACAACAAGAAAAGCCCAGGCAAGAAGACAATGGAGAAATACTTACATTACTTCAACGTCGCTTCGTTATCTGGAAAGTTTATAGATCCATCCATATGTTTGTCGTTTGTGCAATTTGCCCCGCGTCCCGCGGCACCTACTGCTCGTGCCAAGTATCTGTTATCTGCGTAGGCGGCTTTGACTTGTTGTTGTTGTGGTTGTTTTCTACCGTTTCACCAACAAATAAATGGTTTCTACGTTTTCATTTTTGTCCAAATCCGTCCGTCCGTCCGCTTGCCAACTGTTTATACACAGCCAGTGCTGTTGCGTTGGCTACAGTGCTGACGATTTTGCTTTTTCCCCGTAAATCTGGCTTGACTTTTTGGAAAGAAAGCGTTGGCGGCACTAGTTGGCTATTTACAAGCCAGATTTTCTGGCTATAGTGTGTACGTGTTGGATGTCAGTCAACTCTGGCACGTATCGATATATAAATTTTTAGTGCGATAGTTTTTTTTTACTTAAATACTATTATTTACTTTTTGTGTGTTTGACTACACCACCGGCGAACAAACAATTAAAGATAGGTATGCGTATTTGCTGGGTCATGATGTTTTAATTACATATTAAACCAGCTGTTTTTGGTTACTGTGCGTTCAAATAAATGCATTGTGTATTAATAATGCGTCCGGCATATCCAGTTCAATCATAATTGAGTGATTTTAACACTTAATTGATAATTTGGTTGCTTGCAAACTGCTTCGATGTGGTGCCATTTGGTTGAGTTTGCTGTTTAGGCAGTATTCAACTGCTGCAGTACAATGGGAGCTGCAGATAAGAGCAAAGCGAGAATGATGTGTGTACATTTTACATAATTTGCCATAATTACCCAGCCGGATGGCGGCGCATAGTGTACCGAAAATGATGAAACTGAAGCGAACCTCCGATGACACACGCTTTTGCTCCTCGGCAGGATCGGGTTGAGCTTGTTGCAGGCGGAACATGGTGCGCAGGTAATGGGGTTTTCTTTCTGTAAAATATTCTTGATTATTTACAATAAATTTTTGCGAGATGCGCTTTCACTCTTGCACGTGTCTGATAGCGATATATCGATACACCTTGCAATCATTCAATGAAACAGTGCTGTAGGTCGTTCCCGTGTGGACGCACCTTCTTGTACTAGCACACCTTGCATAGTTCATGTAGAAATTCCATTTAGTGCCGTTTTCGAACGCCTTATTACTACTCATTCATGATCTGCATACAAATCTTGGCCATTTGAGAATAATTACGTTCAAAAATGATCTATAACGGCAGCTTTTTCCTCTCTCAAAACTCATACAAAATAGCAAGCAAGGTATGTGGAAAAGGACGCGGTGGGGTGAGCTTCGTGGCATGACGCTTTTATGCTGCTGCTCGTTTTGCCTCGTTGTCCGTACCTTTTTGGGCATTTCCTGCGCTACAGTAGTATAAAAAATGTCCTGGGAAGGACACTGAATTTTGCTTGCCTCAATCTTTCTCGGGCGCCGCCGCGGACAAGGAAAAGTCGCGTATTTTGTGTTGCTGCCAGCATACATTACATTCATTTCGTCGTTCATTGAAAATCGAAGAGTTGAAAGAAAGACTCACAGCAACAAAATGCAGTGGTGCAGAATATGAATGAATCCCACGCAGGATTTCCCGTTAAACAGAGCCTCTGCACAACAACAACAATAGTGATATAAAAACCATCAAGCGGGTGTGAAATATCCCCAGCATCAAAAATGTCGACAATTGTGGAACAGGTGAGAGGCAAGCAACGAGCGCACCCCATAGAGAGTAGGAATGCTCGTTACAAATCAAATTAAAATTAAATTTAAGTAAAAATCAAATTGGAAGGGGGGGGGGTACTTCGGCTTCCTTCTTTGGTTTTCTTATATAAATGAATTGAGCTTATCAGCCATTAGGCTTGAAAGACCGCCTGCCGACTGCGTAACATTCGGTGTCAGTGTATGAGAAACGGAGTCTTGCGTGTGTGTTGGGTGTTTTGATTGTGTGTATATGTGTGACTGAATGGGGAGAGTGTATTTGTGTTTGTGTGTGTTTGGCATGTGGCTGGCTGCTTGTTTTTTGCATTACCATGGAAACAGCATGGGCGCCCGCTCGCCCAACGTCTCGAGTACTTCCTGACGCAAAAACCCCACCGCCGTCGTCGCTGTCGCCGCTGTTGCCGCCGCCAACGAACTGCTTTCGATTCGACAGTAAAATTCGATTAATTTCTAATCGGCAGAATCTGTGTGACAAGTGCAGACATGTCTCACACATACACAAGCTTACACGTACACGTACACGTACAGGAAAGGAAAGAAACGAACACCAATGGACAAATATAAATAGCTGGCATTTTGCAAACGGATTTCAATTTACCCCCCACACCACCCCACAACCTACCCAAATACACTTGGACGCGATGTTGCATGCAAATTTGATTTGCTTTGGTATTGCTGTGTGTTTGGTGATTTGACATTTTGTGGCACACAAAATCCTTCAAACAAACTCTTTGCGCCTTCGAATGGCAATTTCAAGTGCAGTCACACTGCCATTTGTTTGACTTGACGTCACGGAATGAAATGCCAAAATGAAGAGGGATTACAAATCTATCAAAATGCTATTTCTGGCTTAGTGTTTGTCTGAATGATGCATTAATGAAGGGTAAAGGTGAAGGAAAACTATATTTTAGTTGGCTTTTCTTTCGTTTATGGGATTCTCATTTGCTCTCAATGCATAGTCGAATGATATTTGACTTCCTATCCTATCCTTTTCGTTCCTTTTTGACATTGCATTCCCATTTGGCAAACCTTGAACTCCCCATACAAATTTCAACGCTTAAACTTTACCAATAGAACTGAACTTTTGCCAGAAATCAGCTTTAATCAAAGCCTCACCGCTGGGGACTCTCTGCAAAAGTTGAGTTTTCCTGCAGGAATTTCCGTATAGTAATTCTCAGTGCCGTTGCCTGTCTGCTGTCTCGTCCTCGCTCTGCCTCTTTCACTTCCTCCTGTCGCGTTGGCTGTCAAAGTCAGTGGAACTTTTTGTTGCATACTTTGGCGAGAGATGCGCGCATGTAGCGCGAGTCATTACGTTTTATAGACTTTATAAGAAGTTTCGTTTATGCAGTTTGCTCCAAACTTTTTCACCTAGCTGAATGCCATACACACAGACTTACACGAGCAACTCATATCCACCGATACATATACATTTACGCATGTACTCCTTGGCTTTGTTCAGGTTTTTGGAATTGTGGTGCAAAAAGATAAACATTTCTGCAAGGTTTTCCTCCTCATTTAATGGCCCAAAGCCATTCAAGTTTTCCTGGGGGGAAATGCGTTTGGCTGTAAAGCTGTAAGCCACATTTAAGAGTATGGAAAATATATATTTACACAAATTGAATACTCTCTGAGGTCTGTCACTGATCTGAATTATCACAGAGACTCATCTCTGATCTGTGATCACAAATCCCCACAATTTTATATTCCAGCTGAACTTCAAATGAAAGATTTCTTCTCTGCAGGCTTTAATTTATGCCACCGCAAAGGCCAAACTGCTGCCGTGCATATAAACGGCAGATATATAACATAAATATATAGAAGTGGCTGCCCCGTCAAGTGCAACACATAGGCCAGCACCCTGCCCCCCCTTTGTAAGCCGCCATAGTTGGCATTACGTGAGCGGCTTTTACCTCCTTTTTGCCACCCATTTCTTCGAGGTTTTTTTGTGTGCGCCATTTTGTCAGAGCATAAATTACAACTTCGGGCATACCTGCCTCATGCCCAAAGGGGGGAAAACGGACAGAGAGAAGAGAGAATGAGAGTGTGGCAGGTGAGGCAAAGGGCGAAAGTTGTGTGGCATAGGAGAGCCTTTACCGTCTGTTGCTGCTGTCAGTGTCGCCGGTTGTTGCCGTTGTTGCCAGCTTACATAATGTTAATGATGCTGCCCCTAGCCGGCAACACACACACACACACACACAGAGAGAGAGAGAGAGAGATGGCAAGAGGGAAGCTCGTTTCATGCCGTTTGCCAAAACAAAAGTCAGAGCCAAGAGAGATGTGGGAGAAGGGAGGGAGAAAGGACAGTCAGTTCGTTGTGACCTCCGTGTGTACAATGGGGGCCCTCTCTTCATGCTAGCTTACAGGACCTGCATCCTGCGGCATCCTCTGCAATCCTCCCTGTTGTTGTTTTGTTACTTTTATTTCTTTTTTTCTATCCACATGAAGCATGAAGCTGTGTCCTAGAATTAACCGAGATGAATGGATATTATATAGAAGTTGAGCCTTAATGTTACTGTGGATGATTCGGATATATCCTGCATATATAAATATTAGCTGGAAGTACTCTTTTTAATGGTGTTTCAAGTGCACATCAAAGATAACTCTCTTTAAATTTTAAATTGAATATATTTTGAGTAACAGGGAAAGCAAATAGAAGAATGGAATCTACCAAAATAATGTACACAATATATCGTAAATATATAGAGCTAAGAGAGCTAGTAATAGATTATTTTGCCAAGATTAGGTTTTACTTTTAGGCTGAATATATATCAGAAGAATCAAAAGAATTCCGTTAACTTTTCTAATCGAATAATTGGAATATCTTTCTACTTGATTTTCATATGGTTTCTACATCGATTATTTTTAGTATTGGAAGAAGATTGGAAGAGTTTGTAATGCTCTCCTTAATGCTTACTTAACCCGTCTGGGGTATAAATTTTACATTTTAGCACAAAAAAAACTGGCGTAACCCGGAGCCATTTCCCCTTTGAGTTGCTTCCTCTTCGGAAATTGGTCACATCTTTGGTCATAATTGTTGCTGCATATCTTTAAAGGGGTATACTTTATTTCGTTTCGGTTTCGATTGTGCTACTGCTTCCGTTTCCACTTTCCACTCTTTTTTCATATTTTTTAATGCTGCCCCATGCATAATATTTCAATTTGGCGGTGCAACAAAAGAGTTTTCCTTGGTGAGTCACATGGCGTATGCGTAATGGGCCAGAGGGAAAGAGAGAGAGAGAGAGAGAGGGATAGAGAGCGAGAGCTGGAGCAGCCAGCCAGCCCCATCAGCATATAGCATCCCCAAGGATACGGCTGCTCGTTATGCTTATTTGCTCACATATACAGCTGCAGGAACAGTTGCATGATGCACAAGTGAATGTGGCAAGGAAATTGCCCCCAAGGTCCTGACATCCACAACGAATGCGATGGAGAGACGGGGTGGGGGAGATATATAGAGCTGCAGGGTTCATGGCCCTGCCACTGACCGCCAATGGACTGTACGTGTGTGTGTGGGGGCGTGCAGCATGTGGCAGCGCCATAAAATTGCTTGCCCTTCCATGTGCATCCTTGATGTGATCATTCTGGCCCTCTGGTCCTTTGGCCTGCCCCCATGCCCCATGCCACATGCCCCCTGTAGCACATGTTCAAGGTCAAATTTAGTCGTTTTGATTTAATTTATTGTTGCATCTATAAAAAAGAAGAAGGCAGCACCAAAACCAAAAACACCTGCCACACACACACTCTCTCTCTCTCTCTCTCTCTGTGTCTCTATCTTGTAGTCTCTCACTCGCTTTGTGGCATGTTGCCGCCACCCCCTTTGTTGCTTTGCCACAAAAGGCAATATTTTGCTTCCCTGCCTCTATTTATCTTCTCCTTTGTCTCTGGTTCGTATTTTGATTGCTTTTCCACACTCCCTCCCCACATTGGTTGCCACTGCCACTTGCCCCCACATTTGTGTTGTCTCTCCACCACCCCCCGATATTATTTGAGGTGACTCAATGTCTTGCTCATTTCCTTTTTTCTTATAGACAAAAACTATGCATCTGTGTGTTTTTGTGTGGTGTGTGTGGCAGTGGGGTTTTCCTTTATCTGTCGCAGAGAGAGCGAGATGATGGAAAATGGAAAAGTTCCAAGTGTATGACTTCATATGACTCCTTTCTACCATTTTCTGTTGAATTTCCTTTTGGTTTTTTTGCACTTTGTTTTGGCTTTGCCATTCGTCCATGCATTAGCATTCGTCTCTGTGGAACTGATGGGGGGATTAATTCGGTAGATGAGAGATCTTTGTCTATCGTAGAAATCAATTAAATTGAAGTTTTTGTGGGCAGAGCCTGAAACGAACGAATTGATTGGGGGGGGACTTGCGAATGGGTTCCAAGTGTTCCTTTGTTTGAATTTTGATTGTATTTAGGGTATCAGTGATAGAAAGCTTTCAGAGATCGTGGAATAATCATCGCCTAGAAAATTCTAACAACGCTTCGTACAAAAGTTCGCTGGAAAGCGGAATACGAGGCTATGGCAGCTCAAGGTTTTTTTCGAGTGATTATTTACTTAGAAATGAATGAAGATTTTCATAAATTGAATGCTCAAATGTTGCATAAGATTTCCAGCGCTCGTTTTAATTAATTTGGGGGGGGTGCCTTAAAGATCTACCCAGACAAGGAAATATTTATTTACTTAACCTCTGGCTGCGGAGTAATGGCAAATATATCCTTAAATATTCCATCCCGTTTCGAATCAATATTTTCATAACTTCCCCCCACAATGGGAAAGCGTAAGTTTTCTTCATCTTTTATTCATTAAATCCTTAATGTGTGTGTTTCCCGCCCTTTTTTTGTTTGCGTGTTTTCCTAATCAAACACACACCCCACCGCCCGGTCTACTTGGCCCCCACAGTTGGCACCACAATTGGCACCACATTAACGGTTATCTCATGCTCAGGCTCCTTCGGCTCCCTGCTTGCCACTGCCTTATAC